TTCCCGGTTGACCGATAGCGACTAGTGGAAATAACGAATTTAATTCTCCGTTCGATATTATTCTTCTCGGCTTGGAAACGCGGACAGTGGAAGAGCCTATCGACGGTTAGATATAAGGGTTACCACGGCAAAAAAGACGTGGCGAATAGTGGAACATTTGGAATGGAAAGCGCCGCGACTTGCTTGCTTCTCGCTGATAAACCTCTGGCTGAAATCGACGCTTGAATCGCTGAGGCGACGAAATCGAGGTAAACCATAGCCGGGAAGGGGAAACGGAGGATTTAAAACAGGGCAGGAATACTTCTCTGTATCCGATGACTACACGAATTCCAAGAAACACCCCTCTCCCGCCACGATTTACCCGCTCGCGGCACCCGGTACACAAGTAGGTTACGGTTCTCGTCGTTTCCTCGTAAAACCCCCTACGTGCATACTCGCACACCTACTTTTATCAGGCCCACTCGTGCCTACACGTTCCACCGAGTGGGCACACGCTTGTGTACGAGTCCGGTGTGACGAGTCAGCGGTAACCGAGATTTCGACACGGACCTCCAGGTATTCCCTGATGTAGCTGCCATCGACAAATCGAGGTGTCTAATGATCGCCCATTACATTCGCGTCCAATCCCGCGTAATCTCGGGGTAACTAGCCTGCCTCTGTACCCGTGGAGTACGGTCAAAGACGATCGTCGGGCAATACAACTCCGAATCGTTGTTGCGTCAGCCTCTGACACGCGTGTCCAACATCTATCGCTCACCAACGATCTCTGCTCTTCCTTTAACATCCGAAATCATCGCGTGTACCCTGCAATAGCAGTCCCAGTGCATCGAAGACGATTTATATAACCCCTATCCTATCGCCAATACCCCTTCGCGACCTCGATTAGCGTGGAATCGTTGGACACGAGATGTCCGATTATCTAAACTCCGTGCTTCCCACGGATGAAGGGAGGCGTTCTACGCGAACATCGACACACGTTTCTTTTTTCCACGAGGCAGAGAAGGCAGAGAAGGCAACGACGAGATGCAACCACGGTCGTTGGTCCACAGTAGCCAGCGATCAGCTGCGTTTACTCCGTGGCGGCCGCTGCTTACGCTCTCGCCGCTAACTGCTCACCTTCACCTCGTCTCTTACTCAACGATCGCGCCGAGTTCTACCCCCGTTGCGTAATTACCGGCGCGCGATCATTACCGAGTCAAATCGTCACTCGAGCGGAATAAGTGCGTACACCGGGCAACGTGAAATTACGCCTGTTGCCGGCACGTACAAAGTACGAAGTCGCCGCGGATCTCGAGTACGACACCGAGACGACCAGCCTCGTGCCGCCATGATTATCGCACGCACGCGTTATCTGCTCGGTCAGTCGACGGGGTAGCTCCGTGTGTGCTGATGCAACCTCGTAATTACAACCTCTTACCCCGAAAATATCTATTTTCTTCGCAAATTTCGAGGCACGCCTAAAGCCGACTCTTCTGGCAGCCTCTTTGACAGTACCCAGGTCGATTAGGTCTCGACCAACGACCGATACTAATTTCTAACGATTACTAACGCTTGCATGGCGATCATGCAAATTGCGACGAACGCGGAGGAACATGCAGCAACCGTTGCTTTCTCCGAATTAACTCGTTGCGGAAATATGGCGGGAGACTTTCCGCAGAAGCCGGCGCTACGATTGCGTCTACAAAGGAAATGGAAACAGCGTAGTATGCCGCACGTGTAGGCTCCAAGGACCTTTCGATTTTTTCGTAGGCCAGTTCAACCGCTTCCCGATAAGACCGCCTCGTCTGACTTTTCCGCGCGGGACCGCGCGTGAACGCGCGTCCCAGAGCCAAAGCTCGCGTCCTTGCGCGAATTGAACGTTGAACCCCGACAATGACACGAACCAGGCAGCATCTTTTCGTCCGCTGATCATCGTGAATCATCAGCCGGTCACGAGTCGCCGATATTACACGACAACGAGACCCACGTATCGGCGCAGATTCCGATAATCGCCGGCTTTTTCACCAGGAAATCGGCTGAACTTTTAAACCGTACCCGACCCTATATAAATCGCGATTCAACGCAACCATCGGATCGATCGATTCGCGGTTGAAATGGTCGAAACGCGGGATATCGAAATAGAAAAAAGGGAACAAAGGGGAGCGTGTATAGAGCAAGTGGTTCGCGTGAAAACATGTTTTGTTCGCGCTAGTTTCTGCCAATAAATCAACAAGATCGACTATATTTTGTTTATTTGCCCCGACATCGTCGACGCGTTTCCGTCGCGGTTATCGTCGTCCCTTCGCCTTACGTCTGTAATTTTTCCGCGTCCGAAATACGAGCGAAGTCGCAACATGAACTTTGAGATCGATCGAATGGTGGCTAGATATCGCGGAATCGTGGCGAGGAAGAGAAGCATGGTTGTCGTGGAAGTTTGGCGAGGAAACGCCAAGGAAAATGCCGGCAGGAGGACCCGGGACATGCAGGGGAAGCGGTAGAACGCGAGAACGGTTTTAACTTATCGAATCTTGCGTCGCACCATCGACCTCGTCGACCCTCAAAACCCGATAAAACGGCCGGCTTCTATTCGAACGTCGAATGCGTTCGCGCGTTATCGAGCGTTTTATCCGGTGGTAAAACGAACCGTTCTTCGGCAATGCACCGGTATCTGTATAAAGTTGCTTGACCCTTCGGTACGTGGAATTTCGGAGAAACGAAGGAAATTCCCGCGGCTCGGTGAATTTTCGGCAAACGATCCCGAATGTTTACGGTACGGCGGAAACGTGACATTGAACGTCCCGTTCCACGTTCCGTATCTGCTTCGAATCGCCGTGATATATGGTCATAACATTAAAGTTCAAAGAACCAAGCGGACGTACGAAAAAAAGCACGGGGATACGATTGGACGTTGTAGGAAAGTTTTCATACGATAAACGTATCAATTAGCATGTGCGAGGCTATCTTCCTCGTGAAAGTATTCCGTGAACGAGATGATCCGATCTAGGCTGCCCTTCGGTCACCTAACCTAAAAATTGGCGAATATGGCGAATCGGTACGTCATATTGAACTACGTATATATACGCGTAGAGGTAAAGGTCGCGAGAATTTCGCGGATATTATTGAAGCGACAAAGGCGAGAGTAAAAACACGAGAAAGAAAATACCGATACGCGGGGGGCACGGTGGATTGGTACAATCCATGCGGATCGGTGTGAATTATGCATGTATTGCAAAGATCCGATCAGAATTCGATGATGTCCCGCATATAATGCGAGATCATTATCGCCGCTTATCTTCGGATACCGTTTTTACTAGCGCGTATAACGTCGTAGCTAACGAGAGACCGAGGATATAAAGAAAATGGAAAGATATATGGTACGTAGAGTATAACGGATAATCGTGTCGGACGCAATGCGCGATTACGCTGAATCGGCATCGCGATTCATGCTCGAGAAGCAGAAAAATCGGTTGGACGATCGAGTCAACCTGTAGAAGAGAACCGATACGCGCTTCTCTGCGATGCATCAGACGAGCGTTTGGAAAGGGACCAGAACGACGATATCGTGGCTAGAAAAGAGTGGAAGAGTGTTATCGTTATCGGTGTTCCGTGGCAGGCAAACATCGACCGCTTTAACACAGAGAATCGCAAGGAAAATATGCAATAATATATTATCGTATTTCGTATTGTAACACGTCGCGCGTCGACTACATGGGTGGTGCGATCACGGCACAGACCAATCGGTGAACACCGTAAAGTGCCTTACCCCCTTACACGTGACCCCATCTTCATCGCGACTACGTCATATCGCTGACCCCACGAGCAAAATAATACGCGATATTTAACAACGCTTTACCGAAACACCAACATATTTTGTGCTCCACGGTATCGAAATGTGACGTGCCCTCGCTTTTGATTATCTTAATGTTATAAATCACGCGATACATGGACCGTGGAGTACGCCTCCACGTGGAACGATATGTCAACTCGCCGCTCGGACCGCGTTCTACGCGAACGAAAAGTTCGAAGGTTTCTTTTTTTTTTTTTTTGGGAAACCCGTTATCGTTATTGATACAGATAATCGTTTCGTAGTAATAAATCAGCCCTGCATTATAGTAGTCTTTCCATGAATACGAAAGAAATACGAGAGAAGCAAATATACATAAGTTTCGTGGTATAGGCATGGAACACGATGAAACAGTGGTTATGTTTCCTAGATACATAATCGATAAAGTTATACATGCAGAAATTTGCTGTACGTTGGTATGAATATACACTCGATGATAAAACATTATACGGTAATTAAATTGAATATGTTCGACTCACCCAATTTTCGTTGTTTACTTAGTAACTTCTTTGGAGAGATACGGGAATTCAAACTGACGATTATCCGTATTTCGTATCGATGTACTCCTAGCGCCACCAACCGACTCCACCTAAAAGATGAACATAACAGTGAATCCCTGCTGTATTGGCTGTGGTCGATAAAGAAATATTCGTAAAGTAGGAAACAGAAATATTTGAAAATTCTCGGACATTGCACGCTTTATACTTTATTGCATCATCGCAACCGAATAGAAAATAATGTAAATGAGAATATTTACTGAATTATTAAAGCTTTTGTAACAATTATCTTATTTGTTATTGATATATCCCTATTGCGTCGAAACAAATTCTAACTGGAAATGAATCTACCCTCGTATTCGTATTACATAACCTATATTTTATTATACGTTACATTTTATCGAGAAATATCTTTCCTTACACTTTCCCTCCAATTGATAGAATCCTTTTGTTCCGTTACCATGTAACTGTTCTTCCAAATAAATGCTACGAAACTAAATAACCTTTTTTCGGAAAAAAGACACTTATTTTAGTACGAAACACGACACACAGTTATTGCGCACAATAAATTAAAATTTGGGCGGCAAACTGCGTCAGAGTACGGCATCAAACGCGCTACCTATCGTGAACATACGAATTAACAAGATGACAAGCATTCGACACTAGAACGTATTACAAAAATGGCGCTTGCTGAAGTTTGCAAACTAAATTCTTACGTTGATTTTAATACCCCGGGTAGAGAAGATGATTCTATGCAAGAAATTATGGGATATAGTAAAAATTTTCTAAACAATATGCAACTGGCTGTGCCACCATATATAAATGTGAGTACATTATTCAAATCGAATTGTCAGCTTCCATCATAATCACACTGCAATTTAAATTTGCTACATCATGTCACTTCACGTTACTTGAAATCATTTTCTTAATATGTATAGCCAGCAGAAAAATTGGCACAACTAGCAACAGGAACCGATGACGCGGGAAAACACATAAAAATCAACTTTGATCATGGAACTACCACATTGGGTTTTCAATACAAAGGTGGAATCGTCCTTGCTGTCGATTCACGGGCAACGGGAGGCCAATTTATTGGTAAATTAGAAATACATACGTATCGGAGATAATAATAAAAGAGTAATATATTATGTTACGATAAAATTTTTTTGCATAGGTTCCTCCAATATGAAGAAAATTGTTGAAATCAATGATTATCTTCTTGGAACTTTAGCTGGCGGTGCTGCAGATTGTGTTTATTGGGATCGTGTCCTAGCAAAACAATGTCGTATATATGAATTAAGAAATAGAGAACGTATTTCTATTGCAGCTGCTAGTAAACTGCTATCAAATATGATATATAATTACAAAGGAATGGGATTAAGTATTGGTAATTTTGTCTCCTTTGAAATTAACTGCATTGGATTGAAGTTTATTTAATGAAATCAACAAAATGTTCATTAATAGGTATGATGCTTGCTGGTTGGGATAAAAGAGGACCTAGTTTATACTATGTTGATTCAGAAGGTACTCGCACACCAGGAAAGGTTTTTAGCGTAGGATCAGGATCAATTTATGCCTTTGGTGCTTTAGATTCTGGTTATCGTTGGGATTTAACTGACGAAGAAGCTTATGAACTTGGTAGGAGATCAATTTATCATGCCACTCATAGAGATGCTTATTCTGGTGGTATTGTAAGAGGTAGGTAATTTTAGATGAAAGAAGTTCCACAATATGTTATAAAAAATTAATTTTTTTGCAGTATATCACATAAAGTCAACTGGCTGGGTGCACATTTCTGATGAAGATTCTAAAGATCTTCATTACATGTATCAAGAACAGAAAGAAAAAAAACTTAATTAATAACTTTTATGGCTTATTGTATCCTGTCAACTGTTTTCTTTAATAAAATGTACAATTCAATATAAAATTTTTGCATTTTTTCGTGCACACGTTTATCTTAATAAACGTTATTTATACATCGAAATCATATAATTTGAAGTTGAAATTATGAAATAATTTTAAATTTGATGCGAAAAAAGAAAAATGCAATATAATAGATAATATGGAAAGATATATCTTGAAGTCAACATCCCCACTGCTAGTTATCGTACCTATTTATTACAGCACCGGCCGCCATCAAATCAGTGTGATTGGTGTCGCAGAGCAACAAGCAAGACGTGTTTTCCTGTGAAATAAGAGAAGAGTTTTAATTATATTTTAGACTATTAATTACGGCTTAAATGTCAAGTCCGCAAGAGTGTAAACTCAAGGGTGGGCACCCTCCTGCAGGTAACTAAATAAATCGAAATTTCCCTTTAAAATGATAAAGGTTAAGATGTTTACACGACTCTCTAAATGACGTCGTATTCACCTGTCTGGATATTTCAAGGCCGTTTGACCATTTAACTTTTTTTTTTGGTAAAAATGTATTTTTTGTATTTTTGCTCTAGTGAGAGCAGGCGGTATGAGAATCACCCAGCATAAAACATCGAAAGACGATCACGAAATAAAACCAATTAAAGATGCGGATGAAAGTAAACCATCGAGTAGGTAAGTAATTATCTTTCAACCTATAGTAAAGATAATTTCACGTTTTGCATTAAATTATATAATGAAAATATACGTATAAAATTTAAACATTCGATAAATAAAACGCATCGAGGAAAATTCGAGTAGTGCATGAAACAACAGCTCTGTAGATAGTTTGGAAATTTACAATATCTGCCATACTTGTGTAAACGTCATGACCCATATTACGTATTAAAGCAATACTGTACGAATAAAATGATCGTACATGGAAAGAAATTTTTATTGTATTAAAATAGAAACAATACCAAAAATAATATTATTTTTCGCAATTGTAATTTTTCACGATCAGCATCGTATTTGTTCTATATACATATATATATATATATATACA